ATAGAAAATCTTTGGTGGGAGCTGAAAATCCATATTGCCCAGCGACAGCCCCGAAACCTGAAGGATCTGGAGAAGGTCTGTATGGAGGAGTGGGCCAAAATCCCTGCTGCAGTGTGTGCAAACCTGGTCAAGACCTACAGGAAACGTATGATCTCTGTAATTGCAAACAAAGGTTTCTGTACCAAATATTAAGTTCTGCTTTTCTGATGTATCAAATACTTATGTCATGCAATAAAATGCAAATTAATTACTTAAAAATCATACAATGTGATTTTCTGGATATTTTTTTAGATTCCGTCTCTCACAGTTGAAGTGTACCTATGATAAAAATGACATACCTCTACATGCTTTGTAAGTAGGAAAACCTGCAAAATCGGCAATGTATCAAATACTTGTACACTGTATATGTGATTTGAGTTTCGAGGAGCCCCCATGCCTATGAATAAATTGAATGTGTGGGTCACAGGGGGAAGGATGCTTAAATTCCCTGCAGAATCTAGCTATGGTGATTGTCAAACAAAGAGCTTCTGCTGCTGGCTGTGGTCTTGCCAGGTTTCTCTCACAGACAAGGTTTGCAACTCAATAGATATCCCTTTGAAATAATGGTGACATGAATAAATACAATTGTATTTCATGTGGTCTGTACATAATGAACCACTTTGAATAAATACAATTGTATTTCATGTGGTCTGTACATAATGAACCACTTTGAATAAATACAATTGTATTTCATGTGGTCTGTACATAATGAACCACTTTGAATAAATACAATTGTATTTCATGTGGTCTGTACGTAATGAACCACTTTGAATAAATACAATTGTATTTCATGTGGTCTGTACGTAATGAACCACTTTGAATAAATACAATTGTATTTCATGTGGTCTGTACATAATGAACCACTTTGAATATATACAATTGTATTTCATGTGGTCTGTACATAATGAACCACTTTGAATAAATACAATTGAATTTCATGTGGTCTGTACATAATGAACCACTTTGAAACAAGGTAGAGGAGCAGCCCTTTTTGCAGCTTGGGTATTCTTCTTTCATTGGCCTTCATTTGGTAGGAAATAGGAAAGAAAGGGAAGGATGTTTACAATATCCAGACAGGAAAATACTCTCCCAGGAGGTGTTTTGGGATGATAGATGCGTTCCCTTAAGAAACATTACTGCTGGCTCATTGTGCTTTTGGTGCCATGAGAGGTGGCAGCACTGACAGCCTATAGAGACCATACTGAGCGCATCCAGGCCCCTACGGCTCTTGTAACTGGTAACAGCTCATTCTGGAGGCAACAAGAGCTGTCAAGACAATAAAACAAGAAATGAGACATTGTCACAAATGATTACGTTAGGAGTTACAATGCTAGTAGAGAAATCTGAAACAATTCTGATGAAGAAGAGCATTTTCTTAATAAAGGGAAGATGATTAATGAGTGAAATGTCTGGCAGCTATAGATTTTTCAGGCCCTGAAATGTGATCTGTGAGAGATTGGTGTAGGGTTCTGAGGCGCTCCGGCTTTGTGTAGATGACTTGATGTAATTTCCACCTCTCTACACTAACCAAAATCTAATTTCATATTATGAATTGAATTTATGTTTTGCCTTCAGGAATATGAGTTTTGCTGACTAGTATTTCTTTTTTGGCATTGTGTTGTAATGTTTACGTTTTTGCTGAAAGCATTATTTTGTTATTTTGTATTGGCTTAACGTTAGTTTTTTGTTGTAATCTTTCTTTAAAAATTAATGGGTAAAGCTTTCAAAATACAATAAAGCCCTTCAGTACGAACTGATCTTTAAAAGGACTCTTTCAAAAAGCAGACATCAGTTGTTCAATTTAGGTTCAGTAAAGGGACTGTTGGTTTCAGGGTGAATATAAAAACATTAACTAGAAATTAAAGGGACAAGCTGCCTGTCTCACATTAGGTCAGACAGGAGGGACAATTGATTACATTTCCTATTTTCTTATCAGCCATTTTCCATAATGTTAATTATTGATGGAATTGTCTGAGGGAAAAATTTAAATTATTTGCTGTTTTCATTTTCTAGCTTTTTATGCTATTGACTCCGGTTACACAGTTGAGAAATCTAATTACTCTGTTGAATGCTGTGACTCCCCATGTACAATTAACAAGATTAATTTGAATTCTAATGGAGAATCAGAATGTGCTATTCAACTTGTGGAAATGTATGTTTTTAGCCATTGGTGCACTCGCACAATACATTATCCAATTTAGTAGAAATGTTACAATTACTGAAAAGGAAGATCTTTGAGCTCAGAATTATTCTTCATTCAGCTAGACAATTTGAGTTCTCTGAGAGGAAATGTTTAACTGACTCAAATTAGATGGACAGTGTTCCAAGACACACCTATTCTGCTGAGCATAAACAGTCTAGTGGAATGTGCTATGCCAGCACATGATAGGGATACACAAGGGAGAAAGGGAAGAGCCACTAATTGCCGTTTGCATTTTTAGCTCTAAAGACCCTGTGAATCTCAAAGAGATGTGTGCAGTAAAGTATACTCCTATTGTCTAAACCTGTGCTATTTCAGTAATGTATTTTGAGAAAGTCTTTGTATCTCTGCATCAGAGGTTTCTGCAAGTTACAACATACTTTTGTCCAGACCAGACCAGCCCTGTCTGGCCCTGAAAAATTTAGAGAATCAATATCAAAAGTGTACTTGAAAAGTCTTCCAAGAAATTGCTACAATACTTCACAAAAACACATTGAAATGATAGACCGCCTCCTCAGTTAATGAGGGCCAAATATTAATAAGCTGGAAACCCAGTTTTCAGCTTCCAGAGGAAATGGGGCAGATCAACCATTCCCCTCTTGCTTCTCAAAATAGCTCACAGAAATCTAACACGGAAAGAGAGGCATTCAACGCCTTGATTTGCCGGTGTGTGGCTAATATATACGGCAAGCAGCAGATGTGATCCAGGTTAAACCCATACCTACTGTACAGTAGGTGATATTTTGCATGGCTTTAGGCTGCTTTATCCAAGCATGCTTTATGAAGAAAAAAATCTAAATCAACGCAGGTGTGGAATACAGCCTCACCTGCAAGATCTAATAAAAAAGTGAGCTCCAAAAGTAAAAAAGTGACACGTTGTGTTGTTTTGGCTCTGTACTCCAGCACTTTGAATTTGAAATGATACAATTACTATGAGGTTAACGTGCAGACTATCATCTTTAATTTGAGGGTATTTTCATCCATATCGGGTGAACCATTTAGAAATTACTTTTTGTACATAGTCCCCCCATTTTAGGGGACCAAAAGTATTGGGACAAATTCACTTATGTGTATTAAAGTAGTCCAAAGTTTAGTATTTCGTCCCATATTTCTAGCACGCAATGATTATATCAAGCTTGTGACTCTACAAACTTGTTGGATGCATTTGCTGTTTGTTTTATGCCCAATAGAAATGAATGGTAAAAATGTATTGTGTCATTTTGGAGTCACTTTTATTGTAAATAAGAATATAATATTTTTTAAAACACTTCTCCATTAATGTGGATGCTACCATGATTACGAATAGTCTTGAATTAATATGAATAAAGATGAGTGAGAAAGTTACAGACGCACAAATATCATACCCCCCCCCCCCCCCCCCCCCCCCCCCCAAAAAAAAAACACACAAAAAAACATGCTAACCTCCCCTGTTATTGTAATGGTGAGAGGTTAGCATGTCTTGGGGTTATGATATTTATGCGTCTAACTTTCTCACTCATCAGTATTCACGATTCATTCAGGACTATCCGTAATCATAGCAGCATCCACATTAATGTAGAAGTGTTTAGAAACGTATTATATTCTTATTTACAATAAAAGTGACTCCAAAATACATTATTTACCATTCATTTCTATTAGGCACAAAATAATCTGAAACACAACCAAAACAAACAGCAAATGCATCCAACAAGTTTGAAGCTTCACAAGCTTGATGAAATCATTGTGTGCTAGGAATATGGGACCAAATACTACACTTTGGACTACTTTAATACACATATACAGTACCAGTCAAAAGTTTGGACACACCTACTCATTCCAGGGTTTTTCTTTATTTTTACTATTTTCTACAGTAGAATAATAGTGAAGACATCAAAACTATGAAATAACACATATGGAATCATGTAATAACCCAAAAAAGTGTTAAACAAATCAAATAATATTTTTTATTTGAGATTCTTCAAAGTTGCCACCCTTTGCCTTGATGATAGCTTTGCACACTATTGGCATTCTCTCAACCAGCTTCATGAGGTAGTCACCTGGAATGCGTTTCAATTAACAGGTGTGCTTTGTGGAATTTCTTTACTTCTTAATGCATTTGATCCAATCAGTTGTGTTGTGACAAGGTAGGGGTGGTATACAGAAGATAGCCCTATTTGGTAAAAGACCAAGTACATATTATACCAACAATGGAATATTTTTTAGTAGGCAAGACCATAAGCAAATAGGTAAACTGGGATATGACTAAAGAGTTGGACTGTAACTTTGTTCTTACAGTCTTTGAAATTGTACAAGTACCAAGTAACAGTATGCAATTACAGTTTAATTACATTGTCCTGTGGCATAATGCCTATGTAGTGTTAGGTTGGACTAAATATGTTTTGTATACTTTCTTTCATTGAATCATGATCAAACACTTTCCATGTTGTATATGTTGTCATGTAAGTGCAAATGTCTTTGATGTCTGACAATCATACATAACTAATGTAACAGCTGGTTGTGACAATATTGTAATGCTGACTTCAAATAATCTGCAAAATATGTGTTGATGTGGAATGTGAAGTTCTATTTTTCCCCTTGGGACAATAGCATTTTATTGTCGCTGTTTTGTTCTTTTTTTGTTCTGAAGGAATACATAGATATACTAATATTCAAATTGAATAATAGTTTTTATTGTAAATGTATGCACTCAAGCTATATTTTCTGCTGATATTTGTATTCTCTCACATATGCAAGTATCAACCTATGAAATAACCCAAACACCATGAATCAGATGGATTTCCAAATTCTACAATGGTTCACTTGCAGGGAATTCAGCCATTGGAAAGTGAACAGCTTGGCTACAGAGAAGAGGGACGTTTTTAAGGCCCCCTTGCCACTGGCGCCAGAGTTTTTACGCAACCTGAGGCTACTGGGTCGAAGGCCAAGTCTGCAACAGATCCACGAGAACTTGATCAAAAAATATGGGACTCACTTTTTGGTGTCTGCTACTCTAGGAGGTAAGCAGCTACACATACACTCTAGGCTAAGGGATGTTGTTGCTCATCGCAGTTTGTTCTCAAAATAACTTCAGTTTAACGTCATCTCCTCAGATATTGATCATGTTGACTGCCTCAAAACAAGCCAAAGGCTACACTGTGCTCATGATATCACTGTTGACAGTGTCATACTGGTAATTTATGTCAACAGAAACTTTATTTTTACTATTCAACATAAATTAACGTTAAAGCTAGAATCCTTAGTTGCTACATCCATTTTTGAATTTATAAAGAGATATACCCATTGTTATTGAAGAATATAACTTATAAATGCCTAATGAGCTTAGTTCAACTGTCATTTATAACCCAAAATATAAGCTTGTTTTACTCCAATGTTTGTAAACAAAGTAAATGTAAACAAACACTGTATAGCCTCAAAACATATTATGGATGTTCCTGCATTCATAGCTCTGTCTATGAATTTGAGAGTGGTTACATTTCTCCAGCCACATCTTTTAGCTTTTTAGCGAAACAGGGTAGGGTAGAACGCTTTGTAATTATTTATATTAAGGATTCTAGCTTCAATACATATTGTCAGTCATTCTCTGTTAGTATGGACAGAATCTACTTGGTGTTGATTAGACAATCCATGAAATTCCAATATTTATATTTTGAGATGTGGAATGCATTACTGTGCCTAGCATCTAAATAATCGATTGAACAAACAGTCATGGTCCTGGTCTCTAAACATTTGCTGTGACATCAACCAGAATATTATGTCTGATGAGATGTAGGCACTAATTATGATGTCACTTAATGGTGGATTGATGAAGTGAAGTTACAGAGTTTAAATGACAGGAGAGATACATGCAGTAGCAAAGCCATAGTGAGCTCTCATAATCAACGGCTCAAATCAAAAGGGATGGGACCACACTGCATGCTAATGAGATGATCGCAAATAGCAATGCACACATTCTTCTGCTGGGTGCTGATGGTATCTCATAGCCTCAAGGTAGATGAGAGCTAAGCACACTGTCTGGTCTAGCAGAATCATGTGAATACTGTGGTGTTATTTAGAAAAGTCTGGGGTTTCATACAAGACAGAGATATACCTTTATAATCTGTCTGCAGTCTATAAACTTTTGTCTGAATTCCTCCGTTAATTCCTCTCGTGGAGGATAATGTCACCCATTACTCTCAACAAGTATTAAAAATGTAGTGTCATTATGATTCAAGTGACCCAGTTGTTCTAGTTGTTCGTTATTATTAAGGACTATGGGCATCTTTGACTGAAGTTCCCTCTTGGAAAAATAGTTATTCTGTTCTTCTATTCTATCTTTCTACAGGAGAAGAATCGTTGACAATCTTCCTGGATAAGCAGAAGCTCAGTAAGAAATCGGAGGGACAGGGAAACAGCTCGGTGGTCTCCCTGGAAGTATTGCATCAGTTGGCTGCCTCTTATTTCACAGACCGCGAGAGCACCTTGAGAAGACTTCACCACCTACAGATAGCCACCTCTGCCATAAAGGTAAATCTACTGCTACTCTCAAGGACACTCAGTCATTGAAGCATCCCATTTCTTTTTCTGAATATATTTGATTCGTTTGCTAGAGTATATCCAATTTGTCAGTGGGTTATACATGGAAGTTGTATTTGGCCGGTTAGTTTTCATTTGAATGTGAAATGGAATGATGGTAGGCTACTGAGACCTTTGGCATTGAGAAATCGTTCCGTGTGTCTGTAATACAATGCTCAACTACAGTAAAGAAAGGATGCATGGGTAATGTTTTGTTGCTTAGCAGCTAACTACTCAGCATACATTTGAGTTCTACACACACACTAAAAGGCAGTATTCTCATCTGCATGCATCGAGTACTGATGTATCATGATGACAGGAGGTGAGTGGGTGGACAGGGTTGGCTTTCAACATTTATTCAAATAACGGCTGTAAGATTTTCCAACTTTTCACCTCGGATAAAATAACTTAATCTGAACATTTCGGACTTGATCGTGATTTTAGATAAGTGCTTGCCCAACATGTTGTGCTGTGACTCTTAAAAAGCTTTTCAGATGTTATTTTACACCAAGCAGAAAGAGCTATACAGCCTGTACTGTAGTGCATTGCAACTGGTGATTTTCCATTTAGCCTATTAGATTCAAGTGGGGTATTTTTTGCTTTTTAATTATCAGACTTTCCCTTATTTAGACAACATCCTGGTCAGCTAGTCATTCACATTGTACCTTAAATTGACAAATGGGTTACAGTTTATTTTCTGGGTATTTACCAGCACAGCTACATACCATTTGGTCTCTATTGTTCTCTGGTTGCCTCTAGAGGACAAATGTCCCATTTGACCTATGGTACACTTCACTGTCATCATGACCACATACAGTACAATGTCATTATTTGTTATGACACTCAATTGTCCTGGGGATATTGCGAGTAGGTTTGAGCTTAGACTACACCGACAGCAAAATATAACGATAATGATAGCAATATGACATCATCCCAGTAACAGTCCTATACTGTATGCTCCAGCTTGATCTACTTTAAACTGCATTTAACTCAATCTACTTCAATAGCTCTGTTTGGACTGTAAGATTATTTGTCAAAGTCTATAGAGCTACCATTACCATTTTACAGAGTACTGGTACCTTCATGTTTGTCAGAAAGTTTCACAATGGGCTCTACTAGCTATATGTATCCAAGCTAACTGGCAGACAGCAGGACCATCTAAATAACATTAGCTGTCAGGTCTGATGAAGCACCAGGACTCAGTGAAAGGATAGACAGTTAAACACTCACATTAAGAAGGCTTCAGCCCTGCAGTGCTTCAAGACGAGAAGCTGCTGGTTACATTTTTGCTAAATTATCATCTCTAGTATGTGAGCCACCTGCTCCTCAATGCTCTGCCAACTCAGGTAATCATCCAGGAGAGAGTGGGTTTTGCTTGACCTGTCTGCGTACATGCCTTTAGGCTTTGTGTTTGCAATGAAACCGCTGGAGGAGGAATTAAATATATTATCTTATGTTAGTGCAGGGCGACCATGAAGTACTTCAACTTAGTCTGAATATATTGCAGTCTTGTAGTTGAAACAGATTCACAGACACAACTGTAGTTGAAACATATTCACAGACACCTTCACAGACACAACAGTAAGACGAATGCAGTATAGTCCACAATGCATAGCATGTATTGTTGCACTGACTTGGTATTGTTTGACGGGTCGATTGAAAAACAATAATATCCAATTAATAATTTGTAAAATACCTTATTAATTGAGTCTATTGTAGCTTACTGGCAGCATTTCTTTGACAATAAATACAATTTTACTCCTACATAACTGCAAGGGAGATTTGGAAGGAGATTTGCAAGGGAGGTTTATATTGATGGGTGAGATTTTATGAGGACAAAGTGGCACCACATCATTTGTAAAACATCATTTACTGGTCAAAATTGCTCAGCCAGAGGCATATCGTTCGTATTATTGCTAATTGTCCCATCATTAGCTTATACTCAGAAACCAACATTTGTATTTTTTCATCTCTTTCACTATTGTGTTCTTGTACATTCTTCTCATCCAATAACTAACTGCACTCTTAGGAAAAAAAGATGCTATCTAGAACCTAAAAGGGTTCATCAGCTGTCCCCATAGGAGAACCCTTTGAATAATACTTTTTGGTTCCAGGTAGAACTCTTTTGGGTTCCATGTAGAACCCTTTCCACAGAGAGTTCTACATGGAACCCAAAAGGGTTCTACCTGGAACCCAAAAGGGTTATCCTATGGGTAGTACAGCTGAAGAACCCTTTTGGAACCCTTTTTTCTAAATGTGTGGAAAGTCTCATATGTACAGGATCTTGCCTTTTCACGGTTGCCTTTTCAATATTCGAGCTCCTTACTACTGTATATTATTCATATTTCAATGACAGGAGTTGCAGGGGCATCATTTCATTTTTTCTGATTTCTCCTGGCTTTTGGCAAGATAGCATTTTTTGACAGATGTGACATCTGAAAAATAGTACAGATGATAGTTCTCTGACTATCAGCTCAGATGAATGCAGAAGTATTTTGGTATGGTTAGACAACCGCCCATACTGTTTACTTTACTGCCAGAAACGGGAACAAACAGGTGCATGATTCACCAGTAATAAGGCATTAAAATATCTCCTTGTTTCCTAGGTAACAGAAACTAGGACTGGGCCCCTTGGATGCAGTAACTATGACAGCCTTGATTCTGTTAGCTCTGTCTTGGTACACAGTCCTGAAAATAAAATACATCTAAAAGGTAAGCTATTTTACTCCGTTCTCAAAAGGGTTTGACTGTGTTCTACAATATTTGTGTATAATCATAGAAATAGAATGAATAGAACGGTCTTGGAAGCTCCAACCCTGGCAATTTGACTGGTAAGGGCTGTTCTTTGGCCCGAGTCAAAGCCAAGGGCCGGGAAACAGCCCTTAGGAGGGAGTTATCACATGATAATCCATGGGTTCAAGGGTCTTATAGCTTTTATAAAATGTTTGCCAACATATTTTTAAAAAAGTTTAACGACATTTTACAAAAATGAGGAAATTAGTTTTATTACATCCTTCCACCAGACAATATAGTTCGGGCAAAAGCCAGTTGTTAGTTCTGAAGTTGCTAACCTAAGAGGCTGGTTGTTAATTCTATTCTTATGTTTTGACCCAGTCGTTCATTCTATTAATTCCACGTTGCTATGCTAAACAAATAATTGGCATGTAGCTAGCTAGCAGAGGTTCAATGATTACAAGAGAGACAGTATGAAAAATGTATGCTCTCACTAACTGTAAGTCGCTCTGGATAAGAGCGTCTGCTAAATGACTAAAATGTAAAATGTAGACAAGAACTTCAATAAATAATGATTTAATAAATGACTTATAAATAGGCAACAACCAGCTAGCTGATTGTTGAGTCAATAAGATCGTTATGGATGATTGCTAGGCTAACATTACTTTTCCTTTGCCAGCTAGCTAGCCAAGTACAGCTAACACACAATCACATCAAGCAGTTGAAGTGACAGCAAAGTATGTGCATTTCCGTTTCTATTGCCAATTCTTTGGATATATCCATTACAATGATCCTGATAAATGAATTCACCTGGATCAGAGAAGCTGTCAGTCACGTTCATATGCATGGCACGGTGGAGATCGCAAAACAAACCAAATGATAGGCTAGTAGAATGGGGAAATATTGTCTAGACACTTTTTTCCATGAAGTTTATAAATTGACTGGCTGGGCTATGGGACAGTGGATGCACATTGATACATCTAATGGAACTGATAACAGGCATTACCCGTGGAATGCGGGAATTGTGGTGCTCTAACTCCCTGCTATCAACCAATCAACATCCAGGATCCAAACAACCCGTTTTATAAGATGCACTAATTTCCATGGTGTTTTGGAATGTTCTATCAACTGATGCTGGATTGCCATGGTAAAGTAGAATGTTCATTCAAATGATGCTAACTGATGTGGCTCATGCAATGGAACACATTTTTTGTAATGTCAGTTGAGTTGACTCAACAAATCACAGCACAGATTTAAGGGTACATGTTCTGCTTTTACTTAGGGTGTGTTCGTAAATTCAATCTGGAGTGCCAGAGTGTGCTCAGAGGGTGCTCTGGGCGTTCGTAAATTCAGAGCGTTGTCAGATTGTCCATTCGTAAATTCAGAGCATTTCGCTCTCGGAGCGTTCAGAGCGCACACCTCTCAACGGCAGTCAAGCACCCAAGCTAACTGGCTAACATTGGCTAGCTTGCTAGTTACTTCCAGACACAAATGAGAGAACACCTCACTCTGACCATTTTACTCGCCCTAGCAGGGCTGGTTAGGCTGTTCATGTTATCTAGAGCGTTGGTGACTGTAACTGTGCTGCTGGCAACAATTTAATTATGTTTTTTTTGCCTACGTTTACTGACACCCGTCATATTCAACGGGTTTGCAATTTTTTTTATTTGTGAGTTATTCTGTCCTCTGGCACATTCAGACGAGAGTGCTCTGAAATCGGATTAGATAGCCAGAGTGCATTTAGGAACGCACCCTTAGTGGTGCACGACTCCAACTCCTGTGGTTGGTGTCGACTCTTGCTCGACTCCCAAAACACGCTGAAACGGATGTACACTCACATACACACTACCTCTTTATTGCAGAGTCCTACTAGAAAGACTACATTTACGTTCTAGAGGACTGACATGAGTATGATGCTGCCCATTTGCTCATCAATTTAGCCTATAATACCTATTTTGTTTGAATATAGAAGGTGATGTGTAGGTACTAGAATATTTCAGTGATATTTCTGCTGTGTTCGGCCTTGACTGATCCCATGGGATGATGCGGCACACTCTACGCTGATAAGCCTATTCTTTGCCATGTTATAGCCCTATTCAGACGGGTATTACTAGAGACGTTGGTTTTGTAATTATTACCCAAGCATGTGCGTTATTCCAGGGGACGATTCACACAGGATTCTTTTTTCAAAACTGCCCCCTGTAATTCCACATTTTTTCAAATTTAATTTTACTCTTGTGACGGAAGCCTGGAGGTTTTAATTGTAGGTGTGAAGATATCTCAACGTCATGTTTAGACGATAATAGGCTAGCTACACTGATAACTGGTGCTTGGCTGCCAAATGTATAGGTCTCCCCATAATTAAAAAATTTATGAAGTGTGATTATAATCATTATTTTAACGATCCATGGTAGACATCCTTCCTAATAACAATGCCTCAACATCCTGCTGATTTGAGCTGCTCAACCGTATTTGCACTTGACTATGCTTATGGATGAGAAAGTGAACTTGCCATTTCCAAACAGTTTAGCGGGGATGCTTTGCGATCTATTGCCTAGGACAGGGCTCTCCAACCCTGTTCGTGGATAGCTACCTTCCTGTAGGTTTTCATTCCAACTTTAATCTAGCGTGTCTGATTCAATAATTAGCTGGTTGCACAGGAGGTTGGTGGCACCTTAATTGGGGAGGACAGGCTCGTGGTAATGGCTGGAGTGGTATGGGGGAAATGGTATCAAATACATTAAACACATGGTTTGATGCCATTCCATTAACTCCGTTCCAGCCATTATTATGAGCCGTCTTCCCCTCAGCAGCCTCCACTGGCTGGTTGATAAACTGAATCAGGTTAGTTATAACTGGGGTTGGAGCAAAAACCTACAGGAAGGTAGCTCTCCAAGAACAGGGTTGGAGAGACCTG